CTCTCTCTCTCTCTCTCTCTCTCTCTCTCTCTCTCTCTCTCTCTCTCTCTCTCTCTCTCTCTCTCTCTCTCTCTCTCTCTCTCTCTCTTCTTCGTGCCAAGATTTACGTGGCCAAGAAGATCGGATCGGTTTGCACGAAGGTGGGGCGACACTGCCCGTGCCTTAATTGGCCCACATGATCGGATCGGTTTCCACAATTTCGGTTTTTATCCCTCTACATCACACACACTTCAATAGGTTCGCACAAAACTTCAGCTGGCTATCGCACGAAAGACAAGTTTCTAATCCTGTCCTGAGTCCGAACGCAAAGTCACTCCATCTGCGTGGTTGGTAGAACGAAAGAAAACTCTCATCAAACTAATCCGAATGCATCTCTCCGCCTCCTCCTCATCCTTCGCCTTCTTGTGCTGTCACTTTTTGCTTCTCCTGCCTTTGCATCTCACCCTCCCCTTGCTTCTCAACCTCCCGCCGGCCATGACATAGGGACGCGTTTCACACTACCGACAGGACTTTGCTGTACACAATGCAGAACAACGGCCACATTCGGCTCCGTCTTAAATTAAAAGCCTCTCTAGTGCGCGCAGGCCATGAAACAGGGACGGGTTTCACACTAYCGATAGGACTTTGCTGTACACAATGCAGAACAACGGCCACATTCGGCTCCGTCTTAAATTAAAAGCCTCTCTAGTGYGMGCAGGCCATGAAACAGGGACGGGTTTCACACTATCGATAGGACTTTGCTGTACACAATGCAGAACAACGGCCACATTCGGCTCCGTCTTAAATTAAAAGCCTCTCTAGTGTGAGTATGCCGCCTTTATAAGTTTTCCTTTTCCTGCGCGCGCGTATCTGTGAAAACCAGCAATGGCACTGCACATGGCAAATGGCGGAGGCAGATCGCATCTCCGGCATGACCTGGGGCAATGTCCCACTTGCGCAAATTAGGAGATTTCGGCCGTTGATCTTTGATATCTACGGTCAGAATCTCTTAATTCGTGCAAGTGGGACCTAGCCCCTGCCGAAACCAACGCTACCTCCAAACTTCCCCGCCACTTCTACGGGCCTCGCGCCACTGCACACCAAATGTGCAAAATGAGAACGAATCTTCCGCTAGAACACGGGAAGATGCACCGGCGTATTTTTTGTCTTTTTGTGCATGTGGAGAGTGGTGGGCGAGACCCTATAGGAGGCCGCCTGTCTAACCAACCTACTCGACGACGACAAGACAGACAAGTTTTCGTTGTTCTCCACATGTTTCCGTTATTTTCGTTACTCTCCCGCAGCGGGACAAGTTTTCGTTGTTCTCCACAGGTTTTCGTTATTTTCGTTACTCTCCCGGGGCAAGGTTCCACTTGCACGGATTAGGAGATTTCGGCCGTTGATCTTTGCTATCGACGGTCAGTATCTCTTAATTCCTGCAAGTGGGACCTAGCCCGCAGCGGGTCGGCGTGCCAAATGACTGAGGGCCTCGCCACACCACTCTCGAAATGTGGAAAAGACAAAAATGTGGCGTGTGCATCTGGCCATGTTCTAGCAGGAAGTTCATACTCATTTTGCACATTTCGAGAGTGGTGTGGCTATGCCCTGAATGTGGCGGGTGTACCTCTCCATGTTCTACCTGGAGATTCGTTTTCCACGTTGAACATTTGGTGAGTAGTGCTAGCGTTCAGACTTGCTTTTGAGTACGCACGGGTTCCCGCCATGCGGTCTAAGATCTCACGGCCTTACTGTTGCCACGACGAAAGATGGTAGAAAATTGAAGTAAACCCCGCTAGTGGGGCATGGCATGGCCCTTGCGTGCAAATGTGTTTTTGGCGTGAAGTGTTCAAGGCCTGGAGTCTTCTACCGCCAGATGGGCGCACTCAGCCGGTGACGAAGGAAGAAGTGCAAGCTCAACTGTTGTTCTAGAACCCCCAGATCATACAAGGAGATGGCAGCTGGTTCAAGGCAGATGGTTCGGCAGGGTCCTTCGGCTTAGCATGGGTTCGAAAAGGAGTGGTAACCATCGGGGACGTGTGGAACCCACTATTGGGAACTTGGAGACAACTAACGGAGCTGATGGAAACGCTCAATCCACTGAGGACCGTGGAGCTGCATTGGAGACAGTTGCTACAGGTCGTGCAAGAAGAATGGAGCAGGTTGCTGAGTCCAAAAGAGATTGACCCCATCGGAACTTGGTATTGTGCTGAGAGGGACGAGACAGAGCAGGTATGGAAGCTGTTGGAGATCCTTCCAAGTGGATTTAGGAGAGTACAGAGATGGCACTGTCAACGACACACAAACGAACTGTTCCCTATTAAAGAGACGGCCATCATGGCCTGGGAGAGCCCTCTACAAGCACGAGTAGTTGGCGGTGTCGAGCGCATCGGTCCCTCAGGGGGACCCTCCCGGCCGCGTCACGCAGGATTTGGCAGGATTTATCACGGAAGAGCGTGTTTGCCGCTCCAGCCGAGTGCGCCAGCCGTACCTCTCACGCACCCCTACGATAGTTTAGGGCCACGCGAGGCACCGCTACCTCCACCAGCGGGAGCTGTCACCATCCCTTTGGTGGGCGTATCCCCGCCGAGCTACTGAACCACATGCGAAGGCTTTTATAATGCAATTGCAGAGGTGGCCCGGCCGAGGGCGTTTCTCGTTCGCTGTAGCATAGGGGTACGCGCGGTCAACGCCCGATATCGAACCCGTACGCGAGTCGACGACACTGGGGGGCAGATGTCCCAAGTTCGATTTCACGTCGGTCGACTAGGACGCTCTACGCACGCCACGCGATACACCACTTAAAGCAAAATTTGAGTAACCCATATTCACATACGCATGCACCAAAGCAAAAGAAAAACACAATACTCCTAGTCCCTTTAGTACAAGACCCATAACCTTTTGATACAGAGATTAGGTAGGCGTCGCATGCTGATTTAGTATAAAGAATCGCGAGCTCGCACGGATTTCTCATACCAGCCAGTCATGCGTGTGCTTACAAGTGTTTACAATAATTGGGTACTATGTGGTACCCAGGTCAAGGAGGCCCTCAAGGATTTTGAGGGTCCCTTTCGACACTCAAGTGTCGGCTGGCAAGCGCTTCAAGAGTTAGTCTCTCTGCGCTAGACAACTGCCATGCGCGGTTGAAGACCACACACCCTCTTTTGCACCCTGTGCAGAGTGGGCGGTACACAGGTTTCGCGCCTGTGGTGGCAGAAGTCAAGGGGTTTGACTTTGACGGCTGCCACGGACTACAACGTCCAACCATGAAAAAAAAAAAARAAAGAGGACAAGGCTTGAAATAAGGGCGTCGACCTAGTCTAACCCATATTGAGCCCCTATGCCCCCCCCCGATAACTTTCTCGATGCGATGTGGTGGGTTGCTATGGAGTTGCGTGTTCCTAAGGCTTGACTCAGGCCCTTGAGCGAGCCGGCGCTATATGCGTCGTATGCTCGGGCGCGAGGTCCTTCCGCGCATCTCCGCAACGCCGACCGTATCGCGATTCTACGTTCAGTGCCAGACCCATAACTGTTCGGTATGAGGATCCGCTTGGCACCGCGTGTCGAATTCGATATAATCCGCGCGGGTCCTCGGCCTTCCCATATCGATCAGCAATGTTGTCTCACTCGAGCGGTCGCTAAAATATATCCTCGCGATATTAAATCGCTTGAAGGAATATATCGTGGGAGTTCGCCCCTCACGATATTGAACGGCTTGAARGACACGCCGTTCAACCCCTGCGRCACCTCTAGCCTTGAAGCTAGGCGGCCCGGTGGGCAGGGCTTTTATGCCCTGTGCGGAGGCAAAAACCCCTTGCTAGAGGATTGGGCTTTGGGTTCTTCCCGACAAGGACCTCGAACCCCTGGCCCAGGAGTACGTCCGACTTTTCAACTTTAACATGTAAGTGGGGCCAACGSGAAAATGGGGAGAAAGGTTATCCCTTTTCCCTATTTCGCCTTAGCCCATGACTCACCGCGCACAACCTATACGAGTCGTATAYGGGGTGGCGCGTGGATAGTGTTCAGGTCAAGCCCCTTAGGCAGCCCAATGCTCGGAACATTTCCTCGCTCGAGCGCGGGTTTCCCCTAGGGTGGACC